AGGGAAAACCCTTTGGTCCTTAAGGGCTGTGTCATTAAAATGTTAGCTGACCTAACTGTGGATTACTTACATGTTTCCATAGTAATGACACTTTCTGGAGCTTTGTATTACAGTTTGTAGGATATCTACTGTATGTCAGCCTTTTTGAAGCTGGATAACTATTTTGGAAATTCTCTGATCTGTTTTCTACTTGTCACAACGTGGAGGGAGAGTAGATTGGGAGCATCAGAAAGAAGGCTAGTAAACAAGTTCATGGAAGTGCTGAGTGACTTAAAACTGACTTTCTCAGGGCGCTTGGTAGTTGCGAGTATTTGTAACAGTAAGATAGAGTTAATGCTGCATTTAAACCTGCTATGCTTCTAAGTATCTGGCCTGCAGCTCTTAGAACATACTAGAAGAAATACGTTATGGAGCCGGTCTTAGACTAAGTGACATCTGCCTTAAAACTGCAAATTAGAGTTTTGATTAACTGGCAGGTCTATCTTGTACACAAATAGTGCAGCCAGAGAATAAATGGGCTGCTTGACTGGATGCGGTGTGGGATGTAGTGCTTGAAGACCCAAGGCATTCTTCTTTTCTTGCTCCTCCTGAATTAGTGCCATTGAAGTACCTCTAACACACAGGGCTCAGTGGCTCTTAGATCATGTAAACTTCCGAAGTGTTTGATTCAAAACCTGACTGGGAGAAGTGCACATATCTCATGGAAGTCATGGCATACTTTGAAGTTAATTCCGGATTAATATAGCCCACTATTTTCTACAAAAAACCTTAACTTTAAAAAAAATACAACAGTGCTAAATTTCAAACACTCGCCAGCTTTCTTGGCTGTCTTGGTGTTGGAGGTGGTTTGAATTTCAGGGAATCAAGTCAGTTAAATCTTGAGTAGCCTTTTTAAAAAGCAATTCTACTCGGTCAAGAAAGCATCAGAAAAATTACCTTGGCAAAGCCTAATCAATAGGCTTTTCTCTCGAAGAACCTGCGCGGCAGCTCTGCGGAGCAGCTCAGCTGAAGCTACCTGCTGGAGCCACACTGCAGCCTTCCACGCCTGACGTCCCTTCGAAGCAACAGTGATCTGGCATTAGGATATAGCTCAAACTAGGCTGCTTGGGGAGTCTAGAAAGAGGGGACTAGAATTGCTAAAGACAGACAGACCAGAGATGCCCACCAGTGTGTGAGGGAGAGCCAGTCTGCTGTCATCGCCATGTGCCAGGCGGTCAGCGAGGGCAGAACCTGATCTTGGGAATGCACTCATGTGGGAGTGGAAGGGTCCAGCTGAGCTGTTACCTTTTGGGTTTTGGAAAGATCTGTGCCATAAAGGTGTCCTAGAGACATGGTAGGGGAAAGATGCTTGTGTATCTATCTGGTGCTAACAGCAAATTCTTTATTAGAACAGATAGATCCATTGTGCTGTTAATCACTTGAGATCAATGTTCTTTCTCTCCCAGGAAAAAGGAGGCAAGAAACAATCAGGATCGCTCACTCTAATCAGAGTTTGTTTTGAGATAAAGTAAGATTGTGCCTGTGGCTAGATCAGAATTGGACCCAGTGACATGGAAAAAAACATGTCTGCTCTTGAAAGCATTTCTGTTGATTCAAGCCAGCCTTATTTTACTTTACTGGAGCATTTTAGTTCTCTAGTGTTCATCAAGTAAGGTATATAAAACTGGATGGGGTTTTTTTATTTAAATCAAAATCTGTAGATTCTTGAAGGCGCTCTGTAACTTCTCATAGGAACATCACAGGATTTCTGTAGGCAGGGTGGTTAGTATTGTCTACGTACTCGTAAAAATTGTTTTAGGATGCCTCTACTAGCAGCCCATTGGGCCGGCGTTATGAGAGCAGCAGTAGGGTGAATGCTGCTGTCTTACAGTAGACTTAGCATACTGTTACAAAATGCTCCCTTATGTCATCACAGGTTCTGGGCTGTGGGGTTTAAACTACCTTCTTGCTCAGTTCCCCATTTGTACAGACCACAGTTGTGTCAGCTGAGAGGGTAGCCCAGAAATGCTGAAATGGATGGGCATGTTAGTCTACTGGGTAAAGCAATAGCAAGGGCCTGGTTCTGAATCCAATGCAGCGGAAAATCTATTATGACTCAGAGTTCAAAGGAAAGTAAAGAATTAGATCCATAGCTTTCTGGAAACAGGATCCACCCTTGCAAATACTTTTGTATTTTTAAAATGTGCAAGCTATTAAAAGGTATTTTTCAAAAGTCTATTGTGAAAAGAACTCGCTTCCATGAGTCAGGTTTTACAGGAACTGATCCAAGCTTTATTCTTCTCCCTAGAAGAATTTCCTTCCAATTTTCTGGTGCAGAATGGTGCTGCAGACAACCCCCAGATAGTGAGAAGATATCTACCTATTAAGGGAAAGAAGGAAAAAAACCCCCACCTGTAGTAAGAACACTTGGTGTAATGTCTAGTGCTCTGTGTCCTTATGCGAGCCTCCTGTTCCTTACCTTTCTGGTCTTTGTTAGTTTGCTTTTCTGTGCCCAGTGCTTTCAAGTGAGCCCTAACAAAGCTGCTAAATAATTCCACAGTATATAAAGGAGCAAGACTTAATCTTACAAGGAGGGCTAGAGAAGTATTCAAGTACTCTAGAGAATACTTGAAAGCCTCTTCTGGTAAGCCCCTATTACAAGTGTAAAACAGGCTTTTACACTGCAAAATACCTTGAAGTTTTTGAAGACTTAACTTGCCAGACCCAGTGAAATAATTGCTGGTGCTGGTATAGTTTCCTAAGAATTCTCCACACTGTTGTACGTTTTTACATAAATATCCATGTGCTTCTTGATGGCTCAAAACCTACAAAAGATTCTGGAGTAGATCAGAACATCTACAGGTTTTATGAGCTCTGATTTACTGTCATGTGCAGACACTGAGGGGTCTTAGAACTGCTGTGTCTGTTCTGTCACTTGCTTAGGGTACATAGCACAGAGCACAGCCCAAATGTGAGGTGGGGGAGCAGGGAGGACCTGAAGACACTTTCTAATTCAGGAACTTTGGGGGAGATGGAACAGCATAGGGCACAGTAAATACAATTGACTCTTCAGGCTTAGCCTGGATGTCTGCTCCACTGACCCCACAAAAGTAGGATGAGACTGGGAGCTTCAAGCAAAGTAGGGTTAGAACTGTGTCTTACTGTCAATAGTGCTTTGTACAAATACTTAGGTGCTATACAAACAACTGTAGTAGTTGATCTAGGAATTACTGAAGCCTCCTAACCAGGAAGCTGCTTCACTGATTCCAAAAGTTTTCCCCTTCCTTTTATAACAAGACCTGTTATTGCCTCACTAAGATATGTGCACACCTGAAAGTTCCTAGCTCACCCCATAAAAAGAACCTGTATGCTACGGTTTAATGCTTAGTCCCGCAGAATGAATGCTGCTATCTGAATCAGGTGTTTGGTCAGCAACCCCAGGGTGCAAACGTCTGGGTCAAGGTTCAGATTTAGTTTAAATTGGCTCGATTAAAGTATCTACTGGTTTGTCTGAGAACAGTGAAGTTACTGTGTCGGATATTCAACATGAAATGGTATTTGGAACTGCAGTTGGAACACTGTTTTCTCTTTTTTAATGTGGGAGGTGTGGCTCAGAGGTAAGCAGATGGACGGTGCCAAGTAGCACACCTCTCAGCGTTAAGCCATTCCGCACTGGAGCTAGAGATCAAAATCTTCTTTCTGCTCCCTTTATTTGTATTTCTGCTAGTACGCTGGGATTGTGTGCATCTGAAAGATGGCTGTTGTTGGTGTGTCAGGCCTGCTCGCTGATGCTTGTGTAATCTGATGGCTAGGGCACAGGGCTGGGAACACAAATGTTCAGGGTCTGACTTCAAAATGTGCTAGTAGCAAATCAATGTGCGTAGCTGCTTTCTTACTCCGAATTCAAATGTGACTTGTCCCTGTAAAACATTCTCATGAAATGCCTGAAAAATGCTCAGTTTTAGTGGGAGTGTTCTTGATGAAGTGTTCAGCCTCTGCAAAGCAGGGGAGAGCACTCAAGACATCTTTCTCAAAGAAAATGGTCTAATGCATTTCTGCTGACGGACGAGTCTCTACCAATACATGATAATGCCCATGGCTGCTGGATTACTCCTGTTATAGGGCTTACATTCAAGATCACAGAAAGTTTTGAGCAAAAACTGACCAAATAGAAAGAGCTTCAGTGCATTGTATGCCATTACATTGTGTAACCTATTTTGAGAACAGAAGTAAAAGCCTGTTTGCCTTGAATTCAGAATATGGGAATTCTGGGTGGGTATGCACTAGGCCTACAGATATGCAGTTCTGCCTGTCTTTTGGGGATTTGTAGCATCCCCTTTCCTTTGGTGAACACTTCAGCAATGTAAAGTGGCACAGGCACTCTAATAATGACCAAATGTCCCCTTTCCCCTTCCTGTATCAGCTCACATCCTGTAGTATTCAGAGTTACAACTTCTGTTCCTAACAGGAGCCTAAACAACTAATCTAGTCTGAAGTGTGAACCTTGGGCGTATGATGCTGCTGCCCAGATACCACTTCTCTCACTAGCAGCCTTTTTCCTTCTGAAGAAGAGTCCATGCATTTGCTCTTATGGGTTGGCATAAGGACTGGTGACGCCTGAGCTACTGGAGCTTTTCCATAGTGGTGCACAGTGCTTTCTAAGCTGTGGCTTTCAAACACAATACACCTTTGTAACTTGTTCAGAGGTTTAGGTGGTGATTGCCCTTGTAGTCATGCCTGAGCCAGTCTTCATTTCAACAAAAACTCATGTTTCCTCATACTCCTGCCCTTTCCCCTCCCTCAAGCATGTGTTTGATTTGAGTACTAGGAAATCTGGGATCACAGTGCAGCTGCTGACTTCAAAATTCTTTAAAAATTACAAATTCCATTTACTTTGAGAGAGCTTGAAATCCAAGTTCAAGATGGACATTTTCTCTCAATTTTTCACTGTCATAGTTCATTAACAGTTTAGTGATTATTTTCACCTGTTTACCTTTCTTTAATCTGTTCTTAATTTTCAGCTCTTCCTCCAAAGCCCCCCAAACCAATGACTCCAGTCAGTACGAATGAAATAAAAGATAATTCCAGTTTCTCTCTGCAGGAAGCAGAGTGGTACTGGGGGGACATCTCACGGTAAGCAATATTACTAAACTATATTAATTAAAGTATGTTAATATATGTTATTAAAAATAGAATATGCCTGTTAGAATTCAAGAGGAAAAAAACATGCCTATTACAGGCAGCATTTTACAGGAGGGAAATGCTTCAGGACTATACTTGGCAAAGCACCTGAATTAAAGTATATGACTGGATTCAGGACTTGAGTTTAAGTTGTTACTGTTCTGGTACAGATACTGCCAGTCTTGGTGACAGTTATTTTGGGTTTCTGAATTTTTCCAGATACACAAAGCCTTTAAGAAAAAGAAAATTATTTCATTGGAAAGAAAAGTGCTTGTGAATATGTTAGCTAATAAGATTTTGTAAGTGTACAATACTGGGATGCATGCAGTTCAGCAAAATTTCAGTAGGAGGCTCAGAATAAAAGGAGTTGCATTCTAATTTTTGGGTTCTTTAACATTTGGTTAAAACTGCATCTGTATTAATTTCTATTACATGGTGGTATAAAAATAGCTCTTACAAATGGTAACCATCACCAGCTATACTGAGCAGATGATACAGACACATTCCAAATAAGTTTTTACCTCTTAAGGAGACCCTTTTCTATGAGCTTGAGAAAATAGATGGCTTGGGTTAGGTTCAGAAAATGAAGTGCCAGGTTTTATGTACTTAATTACATAAAAGAACTGAAGTGTCCAGTCATCTCTTTCCCTCTTACGGCACTTCTGAAGAGTCTAGAATTTGGAACTGTAAAGGGGAAACACTAGCCTGCCAGGAGTGCGATCAGGAATTGCTCAAACTTGTGCACATAACACTATCTTTGTCAGATAGAGGCAAGCAGAGCATGTTTGCTACAGTAGTTCATTGAAGTTCTGAGAAGGGAAACAAAGCTTTCATATCTTTATTGTACCACCCTTATCTTTATAAAGCAAACCCATATAGATCTTGCTTTTGAAGGGCCTTGGCAGTGATATTTTTCTGTTAACTCTAAATCAAAGCAGAGTGGCAAAACCTGATCACAAAACCCACTAGGCAGCATTTGTTTAAAACTGCTCGATATTGGTACCAGTTTATTGACTGTGCATTTGTTCCTCAATTAAAAGTGCACGTGATGGCAGGAGCTAATGCAGTACAAATCACATTGGAGTGGCTTTATTAGATTAAAATGTGGCACACATGCATGTAAAGATGGAATTGTTTATGATCCTAATTTGACAGCCAGCAGGTATGCACTGCATTGGGCTGTCAGGGCAGGAGCCATGTTCCTCAGTCAAGAACTTGTGCTGAAAATTGTCACAGGCTCCAAGGTGCAACTTGCAGGCATAAGCCCAAACCCCTAGATCATATCTTTCCATTCAGAAAGGCCATTTGAGTTGACTGGGTCCAGTCTGTAAAATGTTCTGAGAGGAGTAAGCAGATATGCACATGATGATACTTAACAGGAGTCAGTTTTACTAACAGAATGATTTTCAGGTAGATAAATCAAAACTAAGGCTATTTCATAAGTATACTTTTGTTCTTTAGTATTTGAACAAAAAAGCTGCTGTTGATTTTTCTTTGTAAGATTCAAGTAGGCTTCCCACCTCACATGGGTAATGTTGAGGCTACCTGATAAACTTTAGTTTCCAAATGATGGTATTAAAAAGTGCTTAGTGCTTCTAAGAACCTGTGAGGGAGCTGTTGTAAAGTGAGATGTGATCTGGGTGAAATGGTCAGACCTGGCAAGACACTTAACTCTTCAGCTGAAATAATTTTCTTAATGCTTACAGGTATTCACTTTCACTAAAAGATTTCTTGATTTAGCGTAAGCTCTGCACTGAGTATGCTTTTGCTTCAATTGTAAATAAGGAAAAGGTGTACTGAAGCTAGCAAGGTTGTAGTGGTTTAAAACTGCTGTAAATAAGATCAGAGTTAAGCCAATAATGAGTCTCTTGAGACTAAAACTGTGCTAAACTCTGGATACTTTTGAGCTATGGTGATAGAGACCATTTCTTAAGAGGTCAGGACTGGCTTCTCAAAGGGCACCTGTTTCCAGTGTGGACTTTAAAACCTGAGCAGATTATAGGGAAAGGTTGTGAACTCTGAGACACAGCTGCTACTGTTGCTTAAACAGAGACTTCTTCCGAAGTGGCAGTTGACTGCAGCTGCGATTTTTTTAGTATAGCTACAGAAGTTCAGGCTTCTTTTTAGGTGGCCTGAAAGACTGGAGAGCCTGAGTGCGAAGGAAGAGTGCCTGATATTTTGAAGATTGAACTCCTTATGCATGTGTTACTGGCTCCAGTATTGGTACCTGTTGCAAAGATGATCATGTCCTTAATGCTTCTAATTTTGCCTTCCTTTTCATTCTCCAGGGAAGAAGTAAATGACAAATTACGAGACATGCCAGATGGAACATTCCTGGTGCGTGATGCATCAACCAAGATGCAGGGAGACTACACTCTGACATTACGGTAAGTATTGAAAAGCTGTAGTCCACCTAGTAAAACCCTGAGTAGCTAGTTGCTATACCAGTAACAGCAGTGGCTGTGTAAAGCTGACGTGGCTCAAGTTGAGAGATGTTCCAAAAGGTACTGCAGGTCACAGAATGAGAAAATAAATAGCCAGGTCCGATAGTCGGTTCTGTCCTCTGCATTGAATCCTGGCCCTCACTAAACGGTACTGTAAGGCTCTCTGTGTAGATTAGATGGGACTTGGGGAGGAGTCACTCAGTAGTGCTTTATAGTTTCAGATCTGATAAAGTAAAAGGTATTTATAAACCAGGGCTTTGATAATCCTGAATATCTGGTCAGGATGCAGCTCTGGAGAATCAAACACGATGTCTTTGTGAAAAGAGTATCTTGTGCTTTCTGATCTAAAGTTTAGAAAATATTGAATTGGAGCTATGTTCCTTTCTTCGTTAAAGTTGTCTACAAGTGACAGACTTCCCAGAGCTGCCCCAGCCCTGTCTACTGCAGTTAGGCAGCAGACCTCATGTGACTAGCTGCTGGTGCCTTGCCCAGCCTGTCCAGCTGCTTGCCTCTGCCAGGCTCCCAAGATTGTTGTTAGAGGCCAGTGGGTGAGCCACATAAGCCACTGTGTCTGTCGTACACCTTTGGAAGTTACTATGATATGGTAGATATTTGATCTTGCCGTGAAATTCCATTGTCTTAATGGCAGGTTTGGCCCCAGAGATGTAGTTTCAATTCTACTTTGACTTCTGCCTTGAAGTTCACAGCTTGTGCACTAAGGTTTGGCATGACTTGGTTATTTTGCTGAATGCAGATGTCTTTAGGAACCAAAATTGAGAGTGCAGGAAGGACAGGATATTGTCTAAACAGTCTGCTGGTGATAAAAAGGAAGAAATAAGTACTAGATTAGTGGAAACCACTAGAATGTATGAATCTGGATAATGTAAAGTCCGAAACTTACAACCATCTTGTAATCCTCAAAGGATTTTGTTTAGATTCCTATATCCTGTATTAGCATACATAACTCAAAAGACTTGTTAATCACTGTATAAATGTATACTCAGTTGTATACTATTAGTGACCCCAAATTGCAGGAAATTGTGGGTTTGGGTTTTCATATGGCTCTCTTATTCAGCCTTCGGCATCCTCCTTTTCCCTTGCGAAACTTCTGGCAAAGCTAGGTCTTAAATACCACGAGCTGGCTCCAGAATGAGCGCACAGGAAGAGATTTACTTTGGGTTTTGCTCCTGTTCAAATAATATCTGATGATAATTCTGTGTGCATTGACTCTTAAACTACCTAATATCTGCTAGTATGTAAAGAATCACTAAGAAGGTGTATGATGTCAAAGCCACTTGCCCAGGAATTTCAACTGGTCTCTTTGTTAGCAGCCCAAGTGTTGAAGAGGGTAGGAGGTACACAATAAAACTTCTAAATGACTGTACTGCTTTACAGGAAGGGTGGCAACAATAAACTGATAAAGATCTATCATCGGGATGGAAAATATGGCTTTTCTGATCCACTGACATTTAATTCAGTTGTGGAACTGATTAACCACTACCGCAATGAGTCTCTTGCTCAGTATAACCCAAAGCTTGATGTGAAGTTGATGTATCCGGTGTCCCGATACCAGCAGGTAAGTTCTTCGTTGGACACCAATAGCTATTAGTGCAGACAAGAAAAAAAATGCAAATGCATATATAATTTTTTTATTTGTGAAGCCTGATTTTTTTTGAAAACTGAAAAAAAAGGTGAGTTTTCACATTTTACCTCACTTTGCTCATAATAATAGGTCTTCCAAATTGTCTAGCCATTTAACCTTCTTCATTTTATCAAGTTTCCAGTCTCTATCTGAGCAGTCCAATAGAGAAGTGAAACCCTGACATGCAGCAGACTTGAACATCTCTGAGAAACCTTCCCCCCCCCCCCTTTTACCCTTGTGGACCCACAGGCACTATTCTAGACAGTGTTGTCCTTGAAGCACAGATGAGCCTTGGAGCTGATCACTCTGTGCATAGCCATCTACATTTTCCAAGAATATTTTCATAAAGTTTTATTCAGTAGCCCAAGACATTGTCCTGCAGTGCCTTTTTTTTTTTTTTTTCCAGGGGGGGAGCTCTAATTTTTAACTTTATTCCAAACAATTCACTTCCTCCTTTCCCCAATAGGGAATAGCAATCCTAGACTTAAGCTGTAGTGTGTTTTTGGAAGCTTAGTATTTTGGCGTAGTTCTTGGTGTCCCATAGTTCTGGTTCCTGCTGTCTGTAAACTGTGGAACTTCTTGCATGGAGGAAGGGGAATTTAGATACAGTGTTTGTGTTCTGTAGAAACCTGATTATAAAAATGGTGCTAATAGCTGTAAAATGCAAGTGAGCATAAGTGGACAAACGAATACTCTTAAGGAAAAGCTGCTTTGCTTGAAGACTTAATAGCTTTTTGTATGTGCAGGATCAGTTGGTGAAAGAAGATAACATAGATGCAGTAGGTAAAAAGCTTCAAGAATACCATGCTCAGTATCAGGAAAAGAGTAAAGAATACGACAAATTGTATGAAGAATATACCAGAACGTCACAGGTTGGTTCTACTTCAGCTATCTGTAGAGTCTGTTTCTTGTTTAGAAAGTAAAGAAAATTATTTTAACCTGTTAGGGCTAATAAAGGCAGTCCAAGGTCAGAAAATACAAGGAAAAAACTTAGTAAATTGTGGAACAGAGTGAGGTGGTTTCAAAGTTGGTGGAAACAGTGAATATGACTTGTTGCTGATAGTCCTAGAGGTATGGTATGGGGCAAGGACGAAAGAGGAGCTGAGCTTCCTAGTATAAGGTAGAGCGGTGGAGAAGGCCATCACCTACAAGCTTTGCACTGCAGACTTCTTCCTTGGCTGCTGAGTATTTCCAGCTGCTGTATGCTGCAGTGAGAATTGTAGAGGGGTTTGTCCAGGTTTTTTATGAAGTTGTGATCAAATCAGATACCAGATATTATGCATTAAGGAAGTGTGAATACAGTATTTGGACTGATTCTTGTAAAATGAGGTAGTTCATATATGGGGAGGAGGTTTCCTGGCAGTCTTCCTGCAAACTAAGATGGAAAATATGACTGAAATATTTGAGGGGTTTGCAGCCTAATAGAGAGCATCATCATATGAGGAGGGTAGACTTATGGGGAGTAAGTCTTCCCTGTACTTCCCTGACTCTACTTTGGGAAAATTTGACTAAATTTAAAACTGATGAATCACATTTTGACTTGTGGGGATAGAAAAGTTCATCTTTGTCAATTTGGGGAACGTAATCAAGTCTTGCGTTGTTATCTGATCATGAACAAGTGATGGACTCTTTCCTCATATAGGAAATTCAGATGAAGAGGACCGCAATTGAAGCATTTAATGAAACTATTAAGATATTTGAGGAACAGTGCCACTCACAAGAGCGATACAGCAAAGAATACATTGAGCGATTCCGCAGGGAGGGGAATGACAAAGAAATTGAACGGTAGGCTCTCAAATTGTGTTTGGTTACAAGGAAGAACTAGTGTCCACATTGACAATCCCATGAAATTCTTTTACATAATATTGCATCATATAAAATATTTTGTAAACTCAGTGTTTTCTCCAAGACATTACCCCAGGTGTCTGAACCTTCAGTAGAGCCCTCTTCTGTCAAGGCATTGCATTGTAGATAGAAGAGGTGGGTTTATTCTCTGAACTTCAGTAAATCAAGATACTGTGATGAGGACCAGGAAATAATAATTTCATTTGCTTGTCCCACTTCTATTTGGATTTGCTCAGAATATAATTTAGAAAAATCTTTACTTGTAAACTGTGAAATGTACATAGATCTGGTAATATCATAGTCCATAGTCAGTTTTAGTCACTTTCAAACAAGATCAGTATTTAATTGCTTTGTAGTGGATAGCGGTCATCTAACAAATTCAGTAAGGGCCTCACTTGAAATTGCCCTTCTGTGAAGATACTAGCAGAAAAAGCTGTATCTGGACCTTTGAAGAAATGCCAGGTATAATGCCTAACTTGACACAGTGCTTTATGAATCACAGTAAGGTAACCTTAAGGAGATTTTTTAGACTGAAAACAGTTACCTACAACAATCTTATTATGTGATTGTGGTGTTTCATTCTGACTAAAGATCAATTAACAGGGGAAATACGTGATTTTCCTGAATTGTACCAAACCTGCAAACTAATCTTGAATGAAGAGACAGGCAATGTTACTTCCTGGTCAGTAGCTCTTGATCAGTAGTTGAAGTCTGTTTTGAAATCTTACTAGTACTGATGCCTATGGTGGGATTGCATAATTGGTATACCAAAAAGTGAATCTGACAATGAAGGAGGCATCTGTTCTAGCTTACCCTTCTAGAGATAATTTGTTCCTGTATCTCTCTCAGAAGGAAATATATCAAGGTAAACTGAAGGTTGAAACTATGCAAAAGGGTGGTAGGCCTCCTGGCAAGGGGTCTTTTCTCGTGCTCTTACAGTAATGCTCATCTTAAGATGAAGCGGTCAAAGGGAGGAGCTGCTGTTATAGTGGTTCTTGTGATGGTCTTATATAAGTGCTACCAGTAAAGTTCGGTCCTTCTAGACTGGTTTGACTTTACCTCACAAATATTATACTTGTTTGCAGGATAATGATGAACTATGAGAAATTAAAATCACGCCTGGGTGAGATCCATGATAGTAAAATGCGCCTGGAACAAGATTTGAAGAAACAAGCTCTGGACAACAGGGAGACTGATAAGAAAATGAATAGTATCAAGCCTGACCTAATTCAGCTCCGCAAAATCAGAGATCAGTATCTTGTGTAAGTACACCTGACCTGTACCTCAGAATAATGGCTCTGATGAACCTGATTAATGACTGTTTCCATCAGGATAATGGGAATTTAATTTTCTTTTCATAACCAAAGTTCTGTGAGTGCTAAGGTACTATGTTCTGGCATGGGATGTCCGAGTAATTGGTTGGCCTTTTCATGACTTCATTACTTAAAGGTTTAAAGAGCCTGCCACAACTAGGTGCACATTCTGCAACTCCTGTAAATAAAACACTTCAGATGGATGAGTTCTAAAAAAAACCTGTGCCTGCTAATGCAACAGAGGTTAGTACTTTGTGTGCTAGGTGTGGCAGATGTTGCTTGTACCCACCCTTGATTTCACTGACACCCCTGTTATCCAGCTCCTAATGTCCTTGGGCTGGACTCAGTGCTCTAGGATTCTGGCAGAAGACACACAGTCTTAGAAGGTGATGTTAGGAGGTGAGAAGAAGCCAGTGGCAATGCCCATTTTGTTTTCACAAGAGAAACGGGCAGCTGTCACAATTTGTATTCCGCTTCCTTTCTGGACTGCACTGTGCAGAGGCAGTACATCTTCCTCAGCTCAACCCTCCTCTTTCTCCATTTAAGAAGTTGCTTCATGGCTCCTTTTTGCTGTATCCAGTAAAGGAGGCATCTTGGAAGATAATGCCAGGAAGTGCTCTTGCAGAGTCTACGGTCTTTCTATGGCTTTTGGTGCTGGAGAACAAACTGAGCTCCAGACTGTTTCTTTGTGAGGCCTTGTGTCTGAGCTTCAGCTTGCTCAGTAAGAAAACCCGTACATGTACCCTGAAGTAACACATTAATGCTCTCTTCTTCTGGCAGATGGCTCAATCACAAAGGGGTGAGACAGAAGCGAATAAACGACTGGCTGGGGATCAAAAATGAAAATATTGATGAGTAAGTGTCACTATACATGTGATTTTACTAAGTGTTCCATTAATAAGTGTTTTCTCTTGTGGGGTTTGGTAATACAAAACACCAGTTTCTCAGTAAAGGACTGTAGAAGAAGGAAGGACAGGAGAAATTGTGTAGGGGAACTTGGTCGTGTGAGGCAGCAGCTCTGATGAAACATTTAGAACTTGATTGTTCCAACTTTGTTTAATCCTATGTTGAAGCCTTTAGTAGATGTCCTTTAGAAGCCTGACCTCCGAATTTGGGGGTGTTCAGGTATTTCTTTGAATGATTTCTGCAAAAATAAATCACGCTGCTTATTAATTCCTTTACTGACCACTGGTTAAGTTAACAAATTTATCCTCTCTTTCAGCACATACTTTGTGAATGAAGAAGATGAAAACCTGCCACATCATGATGAGAAAACTTGGTTTGTTGGTGATCTCAACCGTATCCAAGCAGAAGATTTGCTCTGTGGGAAACCTGATGGAGCATTTTTAATTCGTGAGAGTAGCAAGAAAGGATGTTATGCTTGTTCTGTGGTGTAAGTGTTTTCCTTTTTGTTCTAACTACTCAGTTCATAAATCTCTACCACAGCTCTTTTGTTCTCCAAAATAAAGCCAGGCCTAGCCTAGGCCTACCTATTGGAATGTGTTGCATGTTTGCAGGAAGGCTAGCATGGTAAAAGCTTTGTTGCAAAAATGTGCTTTGAATGTGCGATAACTGTAGTCCTAGCAGTCTCTTCAGTCACGACAGTAGCTAGTACAAAATTCTGAAGTATCCCAACTTGAAGCTCTACAGTCATAAGTAAATTAAGGCCAAATTCTCCCATATTCTTCCCTGACAAGGAACACATGGGAAGAAGAAAAACAGGTGTGTAAAGCTCCAACATCTACTGTTCTCATTTTCGGACATGCCCAGCTCTAGATGCTTTCTGTTGTACGTTTAAGGTAACAATGGTGCTTGAGGAGAGCACTACTTGTGAGCAGTAGTTTCATGACATTCACACAGCCTTGCATTGATTTCTTGTGTTTCACTTCATTTTATGCTGGTGTGATGGAGGTCAGAAATACTCTGATTCCAGTATCTAAAAATCCTTCAAGCCTGTTCTGGAGTGTGAAATGGCTTTCGCTGATTTGTTTCCCATGAGGTTAGTTGCTTCTGAAAGCAAGTTTGAGAAATGAATATGTGAAGGTCTATCACCTCAAGGTAACTGAAGATTGTAGTGTCTGCTGTGTTCAAGATAGTTTGTCACAGTCACTGAATGGGTTCATCAGATAATTTTGCCTGGTTGCTATCATACTGCAAGCTAGCAAAGGGATGGCATAATGTAACCCGTTCCTACATGTGACTGAGATGGTAATAGGCTCCAGTACAGGGATTACATAATACTCGATCTTTCTGGCAGAGGAGTGTTTCTAGCAGCTTTGGAAGTACTGTGTTGCAGTAGCTGCTTTGCCAAATTAGGGACTAAGTTGCTATGACTTCAGATAATCAACCAACTTGAACCCATGCCCTGCTTAACATTTGAAAATGCACACTGAAGTTTAGTGCTGCATTGCATGAAATACTCTGTAGGTCCCAAGAATTTGTGGGGTTTAGCTTTTTCGCTTAGTGGAAAGGTTTCCTGATAAGTTGAGCACAAAGTCGTTCCTGACTTCAGGTGCTTATCTTCTTGGTTAAGCTCTTGACTTTTTCCAAGAAGCATTTGGAGAACAATGCAGTAGGGAATTGTACTGTTGGGACAGAAGAGGCCTCTTATGTGGATTATTATGCAAGAGTGTTTAATCGCATGCCCTGAAGCACTGTTTCTTCACAGACTGTATTAATCTCCTCTTCTTGCATCTACTGGGCTCTCCATTATGTAATTTAGTGACTGGCAGGGTTGTTGCATTAGTTAATTGTTAATAGGCTGTCACTTTGGGTTTGTCTTTCGATGTTAAACTCTCATGTTTCCTCTCCTTGCAGAGCTGATGGAGAAGTGAAACACTGTGTGATCTACAGCACTCCAAGAGGTTACGGGTTTGCAGAACCATATAACCTGTACAGCACACTTAAGGATTTGGTTCTTCATTACCAGCAGACATCCCTTGTTCAACACAATGATTCTCTAAATGTCAGGCTTGCCTATCCTGTCTACGCACAGATGCCCCCCTCTCTCTGCAGATAAATTTTGAGGAGGAGGAAAGTGTTGGCTATCTTGGATTCTTTTCTACAGTTTTTATTAGAACTTGGAGGGCATTCTTTCTCCTTAGACTGCTTGTTTTGCACAAGAAGTGATTCTGTGAATGTGAATCAAAAAGAGGCCTAGCAGCAACAAGACGACAACTTGGGTGTAGGTGTCCTGGTGCTACCTTAAAAGCTCAGCTGTGCTTTTACACTGATACTTTTGTTTCCTTATGAGGGGAATAAACTCGACACAATGCATACAAAAATACTGGAAGCAAAACATCATTTTATGGAGATAATTTTTTGCCAGGCACCTTCAGTGGAACTTGTAATTGGATTTTGTTTTCTCTTGTTCTTGTAGAGACAATTTGGAGCCTCTGTTTGAGGCATCAGTAATGTCTTTCAGTCTTAAACTCCCAAGAAACTAGGGGGGAAACTCTTCCACAGCAATTCTTCTCTGTTAATTTTAGCAGCTTCACTGCAATTCAGCCGAACTTCCAAAAGTGGGCTTGTCTTGAGGTAGCAAGGAATTTAGTGAGAGGAGACCAAAGGAATTATGGGAAAGCTTCAGGTTATTATTTAAATGGAAAAATGCTTGTAAAGAAAAGTTGCTTTATTTTTTGCCAACAGTAACGAAGTTTTGGTTTCAATGGCACTACAGGTCTTCGCTTAAAGGAAACATTTATAACCAAATTGAACACACCGAAACTTTGTTCGTTGCTAGATTGAGCACTTACTGGGAAGGTTGCATTAGCATCCGCACATACTTTCTGCACCAAAACTTGAAACAAATAAAAGGAAAAGCTAAACATTGTGTGGCTTCAAAATACTAAATTTGTCTGATCTGATGTAATTGCTCACTCTCCTCTTTCTTCACACCCCCCTGCCCCATTCCTCAGCTTGGGATTCTGTTTTCAGGTTTTAATGATACCGTGCTTCAGAATGTAAACTAGAATGAAGCTTGCACTTGCCTGTTGCAGTTCTCTTGCTGAACAATGATGGACTCTTGTAACACTTGATTTAGGTATAGAAGAGGTAGGTGCAATCGAATGCTTCTGGATGGCTTATTGTATCAAATTCTCTCATGAAGTGTAGTCATTTCCAGTTGTATAGAAGTGAGCATGCTAATTATAGATCTCCTCTGATTTGTTCTTTGCAAGCCAGATTCAGAACTCTCACACCACGGCAGCCAAGCAAGTTTTTACACTGGTATGATCTAAATTTCCTTGTAGTTATTTTGGAACATGGTGCAAAACACAGGAAGGGAAGAGAGCTGTACTCAGTTATTGGATGTCTGGTACCATCCTTTGGCAACGGCTGCTGTCAAATACTGGAGTGGGTAGTCCTGGGCTTTGTCAAGTATAGCAATCATCCAATAAATCCTCTCCCTGGAAAGTATACAAAGCAGCTTATTTCCATTCCTTAAGCTTCTAAAATGAAAAAGAACTAAGTCTGGCAAACTGGACCACTTGGCATCAAAGCACAACTGGCAAAGTAATTGTTCACTGTGCAACCTTGAAAGTTACTTTTGTTCCTATTACTGGAAGCAGTTCCCTTGCAATGCACCCATTGTGCAGGACAGGAAGCAGACAGTCATGCAGGTCTGAGAATTCTCTAGACCTGTTTCTGACCCTGGGGCTGATTTCCTGTTCAAATGGTTTGGTTTTTTTTCTATAAAGCCTGGGCGGTAGTGCCAGGGTTGTTGATGTTTAATGTTTACAGTAGAAGTATTTCACTGAATGTTGTGAATTTGCAAGCAGGGAAGTGACAAGGCTGGAGTACTGGCAGCCATTGCAGGAAGGGTTGTCTGGTTGCCTGGCATGCCTGTGAAATATTTCATTTTGCACTAATGACTCTGACGCATCCCAGGCACTTTCTAATCAGCCAGAGTGCAGTCTTCAGGCAAAGAATTCTGTAGATGCCACTTAAATGAAACACTACAAAACTTAACCAAAACTGGGTGAGAAGAGAAGAAAATTCATGCAAGCTGCTATGTCACAGTGACCCGCATCTGCTCGTGTGCCCCTCCCTTCTCTTGCACTTCCCCAAGAAAAGCGAAAACGAGACGTAGCTTTTGCTCCTGGTGAAAGTCTCAAATGGGTTCCTCAGTGATATATGGACATGGAAATTTTTCTTTTTCAAGGAACTTGCCCTACCTCTTGGGTAATTTGCATTTCTAATCTGGTAGCTGTAAAACCGTCATTCTCACACCTCTTGTGCATCTAGCGTTCCCTTGGTGCTGGGCTGAGTCCGCATGCCTGATGAAGGAAATCAGTGTAAAGGCACAAATGATAGCCAGGTGCCTCATGCCTGTGGAAGGACCCATGTGAGACAAGTGTCTTAATTGTTTTCTCTGCCCTTGTGATCTCTCTGGGCTCTCCTCTTATTTGCAACGTTAACATTCAAGGCTGATGGGACACGTATTTCTGATCCCTATTTTCATGACAGGGGCAACCTGGCTGAAGTGTTTCACATCTACCCTGTTTTTGGGTAGGACTCAGTTTTGTTTTAAGCAAGTGCAGGTGCACTTTCAAGGTTATAAATCCTGGCACACCATTGCAGTACTGACAACAGTGGGATAGCAAAGTGGGGCTATCTGAAGTTTCCCTGTAGTAGAATCTGACAGATTCTGTGAGGTCTTGGTCCAGGCTGTGGCCCTGGCTCTGCCAAGGTAAATAGAGCGTAATTCCATTGGCATCTGTGAAGGTAGCTTGGCTTTATAGTGGTGTGAGTGAGTGGGGATTCTGGCCTCTGGCTCTGAGATCTCTTCGCTAATCATAGGTGATGTATTTGCTGTGAATGACACACTCGGAGGCAATAAGCCATCTTGAAGCATTCTTTGAAATTCTGTTTTGCCCAAACCTTCAGATCAGGATTATGGGCAGACTAAGCCCACGTTCCTTGTATTTGGCTCTGTTGTCCTCAGCAGTCTCTCTGAGGCTGTGTCTTGCCGCTGTGTATCTCTGTGTTTGGTTTAGGCACCTGAAGTCCCAGCTGCTGTGATTGCTCCCCTTTGACTCTCACATGCTGTTGTACAGATTCTTTTTGCATTCGTTTTGCACTCAAAGGGCAAATGAAAATGGGTATAAAACTGACTGACGTGTGTAGATGGTGTGATCCATGGGGTAAGGGTTTGGTCCTGCTGCACTCATTGTGCTCAACCCAATTCTGTTTGCTCAGTAGTGTTGGCCCATGGCTTCCAGGAGCTGCTCTACGCTTGCGTGACTGAGAAATTAGAAATGGGCCTGTGAGGTGCAGGATTTACACCCTAATATGAAAAGCAGCTGTTAAGCCTAAAACAAATACAGGAAACGTGAACATAAAGGCAAAACAAAGGAACTCAAGTTCTTTTGAAACAGTAAGATGGGAGAAGGCTTCAAGAGTCAAAACATGAGGAGGAAAGGGGGAAATAATAGTCTCACCGTTGTTAGCAGACTGCGGTTAGAGGAGTACTGATCTCGTTGACCCATATTGTATTAAATATGTATGTAGAGTTAAATAACTTTTGCACAGTGTTAAGGGGGGGGCGGTGTATGTGATGTTGTTGGAACTCGAATATGCACAGTTTCTTCTAATCTGTTTTGAAGTATATTTGCAGGGATCAGGGGTGATTCAGTATTTTGTATTCGTATCGATGGAAATCAGGTCTACTTCCACAGTTGCCGTTTGCCCCATTGCGTCAGCCGTGAGTGCCGTGTTTTTTGAAGTTACTAAATTATAAATCTTTTCCCACAAGTTTGTTATTGATTACAAGTAATCTTAGAATGGGAAGAACCAACCTAGAAAGAGAGGGATGTCCTGACAGACGCTTCACCTAGTACATGAAGCAGTAATATGTGGTTGGCCACCATCTGCCACTGGAGTGCTCTAGATTGGGGGTTGTATTTTGGTTTGGTTTGGGTTTTTTTTTCAGTTCTCAGCAGCAGCAGGTGGGTTGCTGCTTTGCACCATTGGTAGTTGCAGTCTAGAGACATATCCAGTACAGCCCTCTGTCTTATGCCAAAAATAAAATGCTCTTTCCACGTTTATGTCTCTTGATGTGGCAGGTGATCAAAAAATTTTCCATTTAATGTGGTGGGCCTGAGTCTTTTCTCGCTGACACTGGTGTAAGCAAGACTTCCACAACCAAAAGCTATTCCCAGGAAAAGAGCTTGTATTTAATCATACCTGAACTCAAGTCACTGTGGGGCAAAAATCAAAGCTTGTCCTTCGCAAAGCCAGGCAACTGTAATGGGGACTGTGGAAGTGAGTGTTGACACTTAGTGCTGTTTTGGGGAAGACAGGGGAAGGAGGAGGGTCTTGGTTGCACCAAATCCTGGGCTCTCTGCAGGCTTGGGTGGCACTGTGTCTGTAACGGAACTCTGTGGCTGTTTAAAACAGCAGAATTGCTATAGGAGTGTCACACCTTAAGTTTGGAAAAGCCCCTTATTTGGTACTTGAACAATCTCACTTCTGTTTTTGAATGTCTGTTTATTTTTTATTTTTGTTACACTAACAGGGAATAAAAATCTGAAATGTTAGTGAGTCTTGTATGCTTGCTGCATTGTGCAGACATGAAACAGGTACTGCTTGTGGATTGGGAGGGGTAAGAGACAGGTTCAAAATGCAGTTTTACAAAGCGCTATGATGGGTTGGGGGTTGTTTCGTTTAGATCATGTTTAAAATCAGATTTTGTTACGCGTAGTTTCCTTATGTTGATTTGCAACATCTACATTTGGAACAGCAAAATCAAAATAACATTCCTGAAGAACAAAGGTGCTGTGAGGGGAGGGGGGTTAGGCTTGCTCAAATTCAACATTCAAAGCAAATGGCTTCAGTGAAGAGGAAGGGTCAGCATCCTAAAGCATCCCTCTGGTTGTAGTTCGATAAAGCAGTAGCTAGACCATGAAGTAGGACCTCTGCCTTGAACCACAAAAGAAAGAGGAGATGCCAGAGCAGACCCTTCCCTTTGGAATAATGGGTTGTACTCTCCTTAAATGTGTGTGCAAGGAAATGAACAGCAGTCCTTAAGGACTTGCTCCTCTTTCTGTATGGGAAAGGAGCTTGCATTGCTGATCCCCTCGTTTCCCTTGGCACAACCCACGCAGCCAGGCGAAGGGAGCCGACTTACTAGCCCAAATAAACGTGGGCCTGTTGGCGAGGCAGCTCAGCTAGTTAAGTACTGCGTGAGGAGTAGCTTTGGATGGGGTTAGATGAAGTTTGTCCAACATTTTTGTGAATCTTGCATTCTGTGGGCAGAAATACTTTCCACTGAATAGGAAGGGGGAGAAAAAAATCTCTCTTGAAATCTTTTCAATTCCTTCCTGTTTGCTCACAGTGGCAGATAGGGAGCTTTAAGCTTGTTAACTGTTTAGATGATGACAGTGCTTGAAGTGCTGGTCTTTGGGGCTGGCTTCATTCAATTAATGCAAAATTTGCATTTTTTTTAATTGCTATTGGCATAGACTCACCGTATTTTATGACTAGACTCACCATTTGTTCTAAAATTTGCCTTTAAAAAAACGTAATATGAAGTTCAGAGGCAAAAAAAAAAAGTGCGAACGGGCC